GTCTCGACTGTCCGCTACCGTACAGTGCTGATTTTGCCTTGCCTCTACCTTCCAGGCTGTGAGGTTCGGACCTGTTCGTGATCCATCACCTGCTTCCACCCACCTTATTGTCCAGTGCTGGCGCGTGCAGACACATTGCACACTTAGGAGTGCGATTGTCTGAGGTCCGTGTAACAACGCCTCAACCACTGATCATTTGAGTTTGACCACGAGTGTGTCTGCTACGTTGCATGGGCCTAGCTTAAGTGTTACCAATTTTTGCTACCCCCGCCCCCAAGTGCGGTTGCTCTGTGCTCCAGTTGAAACAGCCATGTTGGTATCTTGTCCGAATGGTATTGGCCGATAACGGTTGACCACTAGATGTGTCCTGGATGCAATTTCAGTTATTATCGGACCATATTCTATGCGCAACAGACGAAAGCTGCTGCCTTCTGGATGAAAGCGATTACGCTGGGGATGCAATCAATTGGGGAAAGGTATTGTTAGTTAAGCTGCTTTTATTACAGGCAACACATGCATCGGTTGAATTAAACTAAGGACTTTCACTTGTGTCATTAGATAAGATTTACACATTAAACTCCTGAGTGAGGTGTGGACATTAACTGGTGAACGCAGGTGACATGCCCATATGGTTTGGTAGTAAGACATTATGTAACAAAGAACAACAAACTCAACTGCAGCCATAATGTCGCTTTCAAACGAAAAAGAAAACACTGCTTACCATTGGGCCCATTGGCCCAAAACAACGGCAGAAGTTTGTATCACATCGTTCGGAGCAATTTAAATCACGGCGAAATTGCTAGTGAAGGGAAGAAGAAGAAATGCGCGAAGGAGTTTGTTGTTATAAAGCTCATGATGGGTAGTGCTTAGGAATCCAGTGGACCAGGCGCTGATAAACTTACTGCTGTTGCTTTCGGAATGTTAACTATAAGGAGTAGTACGAGGCTGATAGTCACAAGATATCTGAAAGAAGGAAATATGGATGAAAAACTATTGACTTACGTGACCCAGCCTGTGAGGACAGGCTTTGAGACGGAGCTCCCCGTTCCCTGAGGAAAAGTCCTCGGCTTCATACGGTCAATACACTTGTTTCGAACAAATTTTAAGCTGCAAAATGAAAAATGCAATGGTCAGCTGATACAACAGGCCAATCTGCAATCAGCGGAAATGAGGAATAAAACGAACTACATCACTATAACAATTACCAAAATTGCTTGGCAGGCTGAGTCGAGAAAACAGCATCCTGTCAGATCAACAGCACACCTGAAAACTTGTGGGTTGAATTTGTGATTTAATATCCAAACAAGCATCACACCGGTTCAATCGTATGCACCTTGGTGTGCGAAAACTTAAGCACTACACTTGAATTTGGGAATGATAACTGCAGGAAGGTATTCCACAGTTTGACAAAAGAACTCTCTCAATATCTCGGAATTTCGCAGCTTATCTCTCATTATATATATATATATATATATATATATATATATATATATATATATATATATATATATATATATATATGGTTGGCGGCATCCGGTTTCGGGTTTGCCTGTCATTGTGGTCAGCCACAGGACGCCTGCGCCTACAGAGGGACAATGGATGGCTTGCGCTGCACCACCAACAGCTCCATCCACACACCCATATCCAGTGTAAATCCGTAGGAATAAGACCGGGAGGCATGTGGATGGGAGCCACGTTTTATCAACGGAGCCGGCTCACACTCCTTCACAAGCAAACACAAGCACGCTGTATTTGGGGAATCAAGCGCACACAAGGCGGTGGCTGGACCGTAGTCCGCTCCACACTGACTGCATGGAACTGCTCTTCGAACCTAGCACGGCCACAAGTACCGTGCACCCCGTCCCTTCCAGCAACGACCAACTGTCTCCTGGAGCCAGTATGGACGAGGTAGTGGGTAAAAGACAGGTAGGCACCTTGTCAACATGCACATCAAGCGCAGTCACACCGGGGATATCAAGCAACAGCCAATCAATTGAAACGACAACATGAAATAAAAGAAATCGAATAATGCACATAGATAAGCTGACACATTACTTCCCAAAAACAGCATTTGAAATACATTGGTTAAAAATAACCCGCGATAACTTCATGAGGTCAGGAACAATATTACAATAAATACCGCCAACGTGAGAATGTTATGGAAATTAACTAAAGTACTTTAAGGGACATGTGCAAGCTTATAGAAGATAGTTCAGGTAGAAAGTAATAAAAAATAAAAATAAGAATTAAGACGATATAGCAAAATCATTACCCGAAAATTAAAGGCGCAGCACGCAAGCACGTGGTTAGTAAATCGACTGCAGCGTACATACAAATGCTGCGCCGGTTCTGCCTACAATCTCTGCAACATTTGTCGTCGTTTCAATGTTGTTCCGAGTGGCCTCGCTCGTGCCTAACTAGAACTGCCTCACTCAGGCACTCGCGACTGCATGTGCTACAATACCATGCACTCGACGTCGACGGAGTACAGACCATCGGTGTCCGTCTCTTCCTCAACTGACGCCTCTTTACCGCATGCATGAGTGCTTCCTCTTACGCCTCGGTCAATGCCTTCGTGATCAGATCGCGCCATACACACCGATCAACCGCCTTCGCTTCCCAAAGCCTGTAATTAACATTAGTACATGATAGGATCACTTTGATTATGTCCCTGTGATGTAACTTCGGTTTTCCAGCGTGCCGCTTCCCTGCACTCAGTTGGTCATACATCAGCTGCTTCAGTAAATGCGCCTAATCCATACGCCACACATGATTGAGCCACCTCAAGTGTCTCAGCAATAGTATGTAGTCCACTCCACACATCCCACTTCGACGCAACACTTTCGTGTCCGCAACTATGTCGCACCAAAGGATGCGCGGAATTCGTCGCAAACACCGTTGATGGAACCGCTCGAGTTATCGCACATCGCGCCGGTACATCGTCCACGTTTCACTGCCGTATAGAAGAACGAATAACACCACGGATTTGTAGACCAACAGCTTCGTGTCAACGGCTAGCTGATGGTTATTCTACACTCGGTACTCTGTCTTCGCGAATGCCGCCGCTGCCTCCAGAACGCGGATACGCAGCTCACTGTGTAGCTGCTGGTCAGTCGATACCACACTCTTAAGCTAACGGAAGCGGGAGTTGGTTTATAGTACTTAACCACCAATGCTGTTTCCCTGCACCACCATAGATTGCAACTCCGGTGAAGGTTGAGAGAAGCAGACAGTTCCGCTTGTGCTGCTGGTGAGCCCGAATTAGGTTTGCTGTCGAAGCCAGAACACTAGTCATATGCTACAACTCATCTACACTGTATGTAAACTACGCACACTCGTCAGCGAACAGCAACATACCGATAGTTGTCTCACAGACTAAAGTTCTCGCACCGAAACGACGGATGTTCAGAAACCCACCATCAATACGGTGCTCCACATGAACACCTTAAGCACAAGCCGCATCAAAAGCACAGGACATGATTGCATGAAGATATATTTTAAACAGGGCAGGAGCTAACACACAGCCTTGCTTCACACCAGAGACAACTGCAAAGTCATCCGAGGTCTGTCGACTCAGCTGCACACTCGCCCACACACCACTGTGCGGACATACAATTAAACGTACAAAATTACGCGGGCAACAAAACTTACCTAACGCCAGCCACTATGCCTCGCGTTTCACCGTATCAAATGCCTTGGTGAAATCAACGAAAAGCGAGTACAATGGCTAGTGTCGTTCTCTGCACTTCTCCTGCAACTGACGAGCCGCAAACACCATATCTATGGTGCCGCGACCAGAACGGAATCCACATTGCTCTTCTGCCACGTTAGGTTCCACAACCTGACTGACGAGGCGGGGGAGTAGGATTCGGGCAATCACCTTGCCACACAACACAGCAATTTGTTGCCACGATAATTCGTGCAACATTGCTTGCTCCCTTTGTCCTTGTACAGTGGTAGCACAAGGGTATCCTTCAGCTCAGGAGGCACCCCCTCCTCAATCATTACGCATTGCACCAAGTGGTGCAGCGCAGTCATCAACGCGGGTCCGCCGTGTTTCAATACTTCAGGCGGGATTCCGTCGGCATCGGCACACTTGCCGTTTCACAGCTGAGCAATTGCTCTCTGCGTCTCATCCAGTGTCGGCGTGTCCGCCAGATTCGCCTTCACATCGTGCTGCTTCAGGCCGTTCAATGTAGTCCAGTCGATCTCTTAACGGTTGTTCAATATACAGTGAAAGTGTTGATGACAGATCTGCATTAGGTCTGCAGTCTGTGTGCAGGCAGAATCTGAACCACCATCGATCAGAGTCCTCAGGGGCTCCAATCTCTGTCCATACACCGCCTTCAAGGAGTCAAAGAATTACTCGTGTTGGCGGCGTTCGGCGTAGCAATCCAACTACCTCACCTTCTCGGTCCACCATGCGTTTTTAATGCGACGGAGCTCTCGAGTCAGTCGCCGTCGAAGTTTGCGAAACTGACTGTTCTTCCCCAAGTCACTGGGGTCTGCCACGTGTGCAGTAAATGCTGCATTCCTCTCCGACGCAAATGCGCGAATCGTCGCATTGTTCTCCTCAAACTATATATATATATATATGTATATATATATACATAAATATATATATATATGTATAACCTCTATTTCGTTCGTATTAATCAGCCATGCCCCTTCGCAACATGTGTATGGTTGTACGCGACAGGTAGCTACATTTGCCTGCCTTCTTCTAAATGAGCAGGTCTGTATTTTTCCTAACATGCTTGCCCAAGAGTGTGGAGGCCGAACAGCCTACAATGTGTGGTACAATCGGGTGGGATCTCGACCAACGGAATAATGTTAGCGCACAGTTGATTTGGTACTCAAATTGCGGTAATGGGGACTGCGCAAATTCACTCGATTACGAATCGCTTTAACTTCAACGAAGCTTGGGATGTTGGATAGAAACGTCTGAAGGTCAGTAAACAACAAAACGTTAAGCGCTTGACCTGAAGCAGTAAGAACTTGAAGCAGTCAATCTTTATGTTGTATTGACACCGTAAAGTTAGTGGAAAGTAAGTAGAAGGGGGAGAGAAGGAAACAGGTCGCTGGTAATGTGAACGCACAGTGGTCTCTCCTGGTGTTGGTATCAGCTTGAATGGTAAAAAATAATATGTAATACCTATGGGATGGTGGTCCGACGCACAAGTGAGCGTAAGTTGAAGCCGTTTCGCCCACCCAAAGCAGAGTCGTTAGGTGAGCCGGTGTCCGATCTGATTGTAACTCACCTATGGGAAAGCTGCGGCTAGTTTGATGAATGTGGGAGCTTGGTTGCGCAGGTCGAGTGTAAGTGGTGTGTAATGTGGTGGAGTGTTTACCGTTCACAGCCCCATGAAGGTACAAACGCAGCATCAGAATGGGAACGGATGGTTTGTAAGGTGTAGCATGGTTAAGGAGAAACTTTTGTCAACTCCATTCGTAGAACGTTGATGCTTTACGATGTCGGGGACGTGGGTACGGTGGAGTGTAGGGGAAAAGGATCCATCAGTACGGTGTTTTCATACACACACGACATTTGCTGACATTGTTCAACACAGGTCCTTCAGTTGATTTCATTGTGAAACCTTGTGGTTTTTCGAATTGATTTTTGTCCCTACTCAGAGCACGGAGATAATAAACCTTGGCATCGGACCAATAGTGACACATACCGACGTTGTTGTTACACTCGATTACTGGGGAATAGCGGAATTGCTCCATGCAGCTTCCCGGAGAGGACAACTGTTGCCCTCCACCATGTTTTCCCGATGTATGCTGAATCCGAAAAATAAGACAAAACAATGAAGTCTGTTTAGTCGGTTGTCATAAAACGGAGATCTGAGCAGATTAAATATGGTAGATAAGTAGAAGTGATAATGGATTTGTCGACTGAACTCATCCTATTGACCGATGAAAATGCTGCTATCGTTCCTACTGGGATCAAACATCCACACACGACAAAGTTTACCAACGGATACAGGAAGTGCTGGATAAAAACCATGTAGTCAGCTGATGAGATTCATGCTCTGTTGCTTCGTTATGTTCGTGAAACAATCACATTAGGCATGCTAAGCTTGACGTTAATGGTTTGTCCCATCCACCTGGGGAGTCGCCATCAATGTGATTGCAAGCAGCTCCACAAAGGAACCATTAGTGAATTGCGGTGCACCGACCACAGCTTCACTCACCGAATGTCGACGCAGAGGTTTAATACAACAAGGTAGGTGGACGGGAACTACAGTCACACTTTCGATCAGTAAGCGCATTATCCGTGGACAGGTGAATCAGTATGGCTCTGCATCGGGGTGATGTGACAGCCCAGAGTCTGGGTATAAGTGTATGCTCTAGGTCTGTAAATCGTGGCATTAGCGCCCGTAGGTCAATCACTAGTGGGATTTTAGGAGTAACCTACATGTCACAAACACATACTAGTGGCTCATCCACAGATGACTAACCTGTGTCTGTACTTACCAAAATTAAGCTGACACCAGTCCATAGTTCTTGCCAAGTGTTGGGACATGGTTCCAGTGTCTCTCCCTGACTGTGAAACGCGAACACGTAGGTTGGAGCCTCGCAAACGACACAACGGGCGATGCGATCCTCAGTCTCGTTCACGGGAAGCGGTTTCTCTGACCGTGGGACAGCGGTGGCCAACCAATAGGATCGTTCATGTCGCATGTTTGACTGACACATCGAATCGCGCTCGCACTGCGTCATCGGTAACGAAGTGAACCGCATGAGGCACGAACTTGGTGTGCCTGCTCGGGGAACAACAGGACCCTGTTAATAAGTAAGTTGGCTAAGTAAAAAAAATGATGCTCGTATCTGCTAACTTCAGCGATTAAGCGAACGTGTAGACTTCCTCATCCCTCTGGGGAGGCTAAGTCCACTGCATCGTCTGTCGTATAGGCTATCCCATGAAAATCCTTTATTGATCTTCACTTAGGGTTGGGCGGGGCTATATACGTGCTTTTTTGGTTGGCAACATAACGCAGCGCGTTACCCTAAGTGACCCTGAGTATTGTGCTAACATCCATTTGAATGATCGCTGAGGACCGTATCAATCCCACGAAAATAGGAACCACAAAACGCCTTTGATAGAAAATCGTTGGTCTGACTAATACAAACTGAATACAACGAATGATATCACTACTTCATGTGAGTTAGGGGGCTAGTCGAAAGCAATTTGAGATCAGGAAAGTCCGATGGAACTGACTGAAGTTGAAATGCGGTACACGTATTGAAAATGACTATCATAAGACACTATATGCGATTTATTAATAGAAGGTTCACTTTCAGGAGTTAATATTAACGAACCCAAATCAAAATCCCAATGGGAGTAGCTTCGTGGGGATACATATGAGTAAATTCGTCCTGGTTATCAATTATAATGCTGACTGTAACTGAACCCACCCCGAACGGGAAGCAAGAACATCACCGTGCAGGAGGGGCTGTATTGAAAAACTGACAAAATTGAGCAACCGGGATGCAAAGAATCAGTAGATCAATTGGTCAACCATATGAGAGGACACAGTCATGAATGGTGAGCGGTATAGCTCTGAACGACTGTCGTGCGTGTGTCCAACACAATCACGTGACCAGACAGTCACGAATGTCAAACTATCTGTGAGCGGCTGTGGAGCGGAAGCCCATCTAACGTTATCTCAATATGCACTTGTAGTTGTTGTGGTCTAAAGTGAACAGCCCATTCGACTCATACCAACATAATTTTGAACACAGTAAGCAGCGTAAGGTTCATTACCCTTAACTTGTGTCGGTATATTGTAGAGCCCTCCAGTGTTCTCGGCATTTAGTACTGATGGCCATTAGCGAACCAACTTGAACTAGCAATGGCATGCTCTGACTCACGTTGGCGGTCACTCAGTCCTGAATGATTTCACACCTATAAGGTCTTCTCATCTGCTACTGATTCCGTGATTTGATATAGGCGGTTTAATTTGACTGTGCTTCAACAGGGTAGCAAGTAATACTTCCATAGAGAGAAAAATTGAGTTAGGTCCGGCTGACTGGAATACACTAAAGCGTATCGACCGTGCTCGGAAATCTGCGTGCGCGTTGAGGTGGTCAGTGGTAGAGCAACTTTCCGCTTTCTTTTTCGCATAGTATGATAAATACCGCATCCTTGATGACACCAAGACTAACACATTCACGTAGATGGTAGGAGGAAGAGCATACCAAGGAGTCTTCGTCATCCTGTTTTCAACCATGGAATTAAATCTGCCACTCGCAGACCCAAACTTAACGGACGAATACTGCGTGAACAGGATTTGAAGTCCAACTGAATGGGAGTTGGCCTTAAAGATTTAAAAAATGGATAAGACCAATTTCAGACGGAACTGAGCCTGTACATGAAATAGCCATGGTGACCTCCAGTGCTCCCCGTCCCCTGCACACATATGGAACCTTACACTCCAGCAATATCAATCAGGTAGCGGCCGTCATAACCTTTGGTGGGGAGTGAGTAAACTCAACTTCCGGCAAAGCCCGGTTGTCCACCTACGTGAAATGGCCGCGAAGATTTTGATAGCTAGGGTACAGGATCAAGTGGATACCTGGAATTATCGTGCGGCGTCGTGGTCAGGTGATGTATGAGATCCGCCATGCCAATCAACTGAAGCCGCGCTACGGGGAGGAAACTGTAACATGCGATACTAACGGACTAGATGTTACAGAACTGTTGGATATTCGTGAGGCGAGCACTTTTGCCAGTCGACACACGCAGCCTTTAGAAGGCCCAGAAAATGGAACACAGGGGAGGCCGAAAAGGAGAAGATGATTTGTTCAGTTATTTCAAGTGGACTCCCGACGGAAAAGCTACACCCTCCCCAGGTAAACTCATTTCTTTATGCAGAGAGAGGTGTTAGGGAGACACGTATTGCACATACATATATTGAAAAACATTCTTAATTACCGATTTGTTTCCTTCAGCTATCAATGTTAGTGACATTTGTTTTAACACATCATTCCGCTAATTTTATCGACTACCTGTGGTCACTGCTTTGCTCTCGAATCGCAAAGCCACTTGGCTGTTAACAGGCCATCTTTTCGTTCGTGCGTGTCTCTTATTAGTTCCTTTGTTGATCACTTATTTTTGGCTTCATTTTGCTTGCATGCTTTTAGCAATATGGTTGGCTGAAACGTATTTGAGTAGCTTTCCTTCAGATCGTTCTTAAAACTATTTAAACAGACATGATTCCATGCATGCGATTCTTTCCCGAAACGTCTTTGTAGTTCTTCTTGCGATCGTGGCTTGAAGGAGTCAACTGCGACACAACCCGGACTTTAACCGCTAATTGTCATTGAAAGAGCAATTTGGCAATCCAGTTCAAGTTAGAATCACCGTTGCCGTATGTTTTAGCAGTTGCTATTGCCAAGATAATAGTAGTAGTAATGATGGAGTGCGTTAGTTTGAATGGCACAGGAAGAGGTGATTCCACGTGTAATTCGAAGGCTTTTGTCTTTGTGAATCGGATTATTATACCAGGTTCCTACATGGCAGATGCTGGTTCTGATCTAAGCAGCATTAGAAGAACTGAGTCAAATGTTCTGCCCGTTGCGTGCTGTTGCTCTCAGTGTTTCTGAACGAATGGTATCGACACCTGTGGAGCTGTGCTTACGCAGATACGTCAGCTTCTGCAAGACAGCTTTACAGTCGACCAAGCGTTTTTCGGAACCAGTTGATCTACCCACTTGATAATTCACGTCCCCAGCAGTGATATCGTACCCCCAATGATACCACAAGCTTACCAAGTAGTGCTGTGTAAACACATATCTATTTTGTTATCACAGTTGCGCAGTTTACGAGCGAACAACATCTAAAGTTGTTTCGCTTGTTGACTTTAATAAACAGTAGTGCTAACAAGCACCTCACTATTTGCTCCTCCCCTAGTTGACTACGCGTCGCACACGCTGAGTTTCCGAATTGAAGGAGATGCATTGGGTTAAGTACTAGGGAGCACTGAAACAAACAGTTGCATCACATGCATATTTAGTTGAAAGTTAGTTGCGTGTTACGTAGTTGTTAACGGCGGTAACTAGCGCATTGGAGGCCAACTTACTATACCCTGTAATAAACGTGGATCATACTAACTGACTCCGATTGTCCATCATAGCAGTTTATTGGCTGCAAGCCGGAGTAGAGGTGAAACCGAGTCCTAAAAACTACCTATATGTAGTCATTGCACCACACGAGACGAATTAGGCACAAGACTATTCATTGTCTGCAGGCTTAAAACGAATGTTAAACCAAGCACTCACCAAGATCCATGCTGACTAAGTCATCTACTCCTCCACCCATTACGAAACTGTAACCAGCGAACATCCTGTTGGTTCCTTCTGGACACTCCGGTTCGTCAGAATCTACGGTTTGGTAGTGGCGGGCAAAGAGAATGGACGAATAATTGCTTTGACCAGGAGTACCCTTCTCTCCTTTTGGACCAGGGAGACCAGCTTCGCCAGTGGCGCCTTTGGGGCCAGCTTCTCCAATATCCCCTTGTTCGCCGGGTTCACCGTCTTCGCCCCGCTCGCCTTGCACCAGTCCCGGTTGACCTTTCATTCCAATGTCACCGGAGTCACCGTCTGGTCCAATGGCCCCATCTAGTCCGGGGTCACCAGTTTCACCAACTTCTCCGGGCTCACCTGCCACATTTGGATCTCCTTTCTCACCCTTTTGATCCAGACCTCGTTCACCTTTTGGACCAAACAAACCGGGATCCCCACTTTCACCTTTCAAACCCTTGGGTCCACGTTCTCCCTGGGAACCAGGGTCCCCAGGTAGCCCTTCATATCCGTCAGGACCGGGATCACCATCCTTCCCCCCGATTCCAGGCTGTCCCTTTTCACCTTTAGCACCATCCTGGCCAGTAGGTCCTTCTGCACCTTGCAGACCTCGTTCTCCCCTTTCGCCGGGTTGACCTCTTTCACCCTTTTCCCCTGTCTCTCCATCCAGCGCAACCAAACCAGCAGATCCGGGAATTCCCCGCTCTCCTGGCTCACCTAAAAAGGCAAAAGCCAGGGAAGACAAATGAGTGAGAGGTACGACTTATGCATTCTATTAGTTGCGCCAAGTAGTTAAATGCAACGCCGCGTGGCGGAATGAAATTGATAAACCAGACCCACCAAAAGGCTAAAGTTGCGGAACCTAGCCTACCAAGTGGATTACACTAAAAATCGCACAGAGTTATTCGAGTGGTTAAACACCAGGTGTAGGTTGGTGGTGGACCTCTATAATTCTCATCAGTGGGTGCTGAAAAGCCCAATAGCCCATCAAATAATTTAGATGTATGTAGAACCATGCTGCTCATATTTGCTGCCTTCGTCTCAACCTAGCTGATACTAAGCTGCGAAACTTGGTGAGATAAATAACATGTCATCCGTGGATTATATGTTGGATTAACAGTTCCATTTCTCCAGCACCAGTTCAACCAATTTCATTGCTCTCGGTTCACCTCAGCATTTCACTTTTAACTCACGCGCGGTAACAAATAGCACTCATCAAACGCAATCATCGAGTGAATTTCGACGACGAAGGCAGGTGGCCTCTATCCCACATTTAGTTTTTGAACTGTGTCCAACTGCTTGGGGAGCATGACATTCTCAGCATTCATACAGCACCGGATAACATGACTACACATGCTAACTTGGGTGTATTGCATTATATTAGGTTGATAAAGTTATTGCAGTTTTTATATTTTATTTTAACAGGTGGTTTTTAAATAATTTTTTAATAAATTGCTTTGATCTTGGACATTAGTTTGAAACCTGTTTTGTTTTCTGATTAGCAATAGCAATCGTTTAGCTCAGGAACAAGTTTTTACATCTTTACATCACATTTAATGCAACGTGAAGAAAAATTCGTACAATGTAAACTTGGTCGAAATGTAGCGGAAACAGCCCATGACATCAACAGTGCATTTGGTGATGGAACCACAAATAACCGCATTGCACAATGGTGGTTTCAAAAACTTCGTAAAGGTCGTGGGAGAGTTGAAGTTAACGAGCGCCGTGGACGTCCAGTGGAAGTGAACAACGAGAAATTAAGGGTCTTAGTTAAAGCGGGTCGGCGAAAAAGTATTCTAGCCTTTGCTGCTGACTTAGCAGTATCGCATTAGCAGGTTTAAAACATGTACAGGAGATTGGACTGTGAAAAAAGCTTGATAAGTGGGTGTCGCACGAATTGAATAAAAATTAAAAAAGCCATCGTTTTGAAGTGTAGTCTGTCCTTCTTCCGCGCAATAAAAACGAGCCGTTTCTTGACCGCGATGGAAAGTGGGTCCTTCACGACAATCGACGACGGACCTCTCAATGGTTGTATCACGATCAAGCTCCACAAAACGTTCTAAATCCGAACTTGCAAGGTTATGGTGACTGTTCGGTGGTCTGCGGCCGGTCTGATCCATCACAACTTTCTGAATCCAAGGGAAGCTATTACACTGCACCGAAACCTTCAAAACAAGTGCCCGGTACTGGTCAACTGTAAGAGACCAATTCTTCTCCATGAGAACGCTTGGCCGCAAGTCTCACACAACGCTGCGAAAGCTCCACTAGCTGGGCTAGGATAATTCGCCTCACTCGCCATCCTCAACTGAACTCCCACCCGCACCATACCACATTTTTCACGCACCTGGATAACTTCCTCCTAGAGAATAATTTTAAGACCCAAGGAGATGCTGAAACCACCTTCGACAATTTCATCGCCACCAAAACTTTCGATTTTTATTCATCCGAGATAGATAAATTTGGTTCCAGTTGGAAAACGTGTGTCAACGCAAATGTTTTCATTTCGAATAAAAATGTTACTACTGAGCCACGATATGTGTATATAAGTTTTGAGCTTAAAAACCACAATAACTTTATCACCAACCTACTACAATGTTCAACGAGTTTTACATAACTAATATTAGAATTACGTTCAATGACAGTGGGTGATAGTTGAAGTGACTGTGGGAATTACATCCAAGAGTGTGTTGTTCTAAGTACACAAGTTATGGCTGCTCCATTTCTTATGCAACGGTGCGAAAAATTAGCAAGTGTGTAGCAAATGTCGTGCGCCATACTACTGTGTCCAAAAAGAAACCGAACTTGTGAAATAGCGTGCTAACCGTCAGTGAGAGCGAACTGTGGCTACAGAGGACACTTAGAGGTATTTTTAGACAATACATCGCCATTTCTGCGTTTCGCTCTGACTATTAGTTGGCGCGTTCTCGGTAGCGGCAGCACTCTCCCTCAATCGGTTGGCGCACTTTTTCAAGAGTTCCGTTTCCTTTTGTACACAGTAGTATATCGAATAGACGAACAAATGACCGACCGTAAGTGAGCGGAAAAGCACACAATATAAGCTAGGCAAAGGCTTGTTAGAAGGGCAATAGTCTAGCTACGGCTAAAAATCAGGCACTAATATGGGAGCTAGCTAGCGGAGATGGAAGCGTCTGTAGAGTGCGAGAATGGACGATGGTAGCAGATCACGTCTGTGTCGTGAAGGCGCGAGAGTGTGTTGACTCAAACAAACGTGAGCAACATTTAAGCATTCAAGGTGCTTAGTACCCTAAGTACATCATAAAACCATAATTTTACAATATTTTGAACAAACAGGAAAAATATCCAAGTCACTACAATACGTGAAGACCATCCGTTGCCGGCCAGCCTACCGCGAGACCAGATGGTGAAACCTGATGCAGCTGCTAAGGAAGCACCAATGTACTCGGACCCTAGGGGGATCGCACAGTGTCCTCCATACGGTGCCAAAAGCAAAACGAAGGGGATAGTTCGTAGGATTCAAATGTTTGCTTCCAAATCATCTTCCCAGTTTGCATATGGAAGACAAACGGAAACATACATATGGACAGTGGTGGTCAGTGCAGAAACGATAACGGCATCTACCGGATAAATTATGGCGCCCAGAAAACTTTTTTATACGTTTACAAAATATTTTACGCGTCTTGCGAGTTGTAGGTTCTAAAACCGTTTGCCGTTTGTTTTTATAACATTGGACGGAAAGAAAATAAAAGCAGAAAAGGAAGATGGGAGGGAAACTAATCTCTTAGACGCGCTGGCCAATGAACTCGTGGACCTGACCTAGTCGACTTCTGGAGTTCAGTCAAAGGCGCTGTCGGCTTAGAATTTCCATGGGATAGCGAAGTCTGAAAATCGGTCAACGATGTGCCGTTCCCCTCGATGTAACGCGGTGTGGCTGCGTAAGGAAGTTCGGATGGAGTGTTACCCTTGGAGCCAGTTGCGTTCGAAGTGGACGCCTCTTCTATCACTGGATAGATTGCTTCGTCGTGGTCAACCGCCGTGCTGGTCGTAATTTTTTTGTTGCTCCTGACTTTTCAAGTTTTCGGATTCAACTTTTTTCGCACATCGGCGTGGGTACCCTCATTCAATCGGGCTCGATCAGGCCTACCCATTGCGTAAACTTTCTCGAGGGTGCTATAAACGGATCAAAGTCAAACGCCGATTTTTAGTTTTGGCTGTGTTTCAGCACAGTCGTTCGTCTACGAGTGCACAACTTTTCTGCCTTCATTAAGGTTTTTGGAGTTATCAGAAAGCGTATTGCTAGGTCTACTTCAAGAGACCTAAACCAACCCTGCCGGTAGCTGCATAAGACAACTAAAAGCAATTATATCTTCGTACCCTGCCTTGGTTGGCCAAGAGCTCTCACGCCGCATTGTAAATCGCGTTCTATCGAACGCACAAATCTCTTTGTTTGGACGGATTTGTGTGTGCGCGCCTGTTGGAACTAGCGACGTAACGTGACGCGGCACGCCACGGAGTTGACCTTAGGGTTACCTGTGCACGGAGCGGTCGATTACTGAATGTCAATCTACCCGTGGCGGAATTTGGACAACTGATCACTCATACAACCGGTTGGTTTGTATCGATCGTTGCATCTGAAACCGTGGCCTGTTTGTACCCGTTTGATTCTCGTGCAATTTAGCTAGGTCGTATAAGCCCCATGCTGAGGCTGATGTCGCATTCATGATGCTTCTTCACCGCAGTTGGGCTAAACCAACTTACACTTAAACTACGTCCTTAATGTGCATAAAATTCATTGCACTTTATTTGATTTGTTCTGCGTACTTGATAGTCTCCTAACTTGCACACGTCGTTCATGCAAATTGTGGTAAACTTGCGTAATTTTATCGCGTGGTATTTTTTAAATAACTTTCGGACATTTTGTACTTATTGCGGATTCACTTATAACCAATTTCTTCCATATGCTCATTTAGCGAGTATTTTTGTCGTCATATGCGTTTACTTTATTCGATATCGGCATTTCGAATGATTGGCTGTTGTTTGACATCCCAGGTGTGGCTGCGCTTGATGTGCATGTTGACAAGGTGCCTACCTGTCTATTACCCACTACCTCGTGCATGCTGGCTCCAGGAGACAGTTGGTCGTTGCTGGAGGGGACGGGGTGCAGGGTTCTTGTGGTCGTGCTAGGCTCGAAGAGTGGTTTCATGCATTCAGTTTGGAGTGAACTACGGTCCAGCCACCGCCTTGTGTGCGTTTGATTCTCCAAATACAGCGTGGTTGTGTTTTCCTGTGAAGGAGTGTGGGCCGGCTCCATTGATGAAACGTGGCTCCCATCTGCATGCCTCCCGGTCTTATTCCTTCAGGTTTGCACTGGATATGGGTTGTGTGGATGGAGTTGTGAGTGATGCAGCGCAGGCCATCCATGGTCCCTCTGTAGGCGTAGGCGTCCTGTGGCTGGCCACAGTGACAGGCAAATCCGAAACCGGATGCCGCCAACCATAAGCCCTAAAATCCTAGTCTGTTTCCTCGGTGGTTTGCCGATAACTGTTTGATTCCTCTTGATTACTGTAACAGAATAGGTGAACTTTGTCCCCTATTTTCTTATCCTTGTCCACATAAAATAGTTTTTACGAGCCTTAAAACCGAGTGACCAATCAGTAAAAATGCTCGTTACCTCAGTTAAAACACGAAGCAAAGAAGTGACAGGAGGCCACTGAAACGCTGGCAAAACATCTTGCTTT